ATTGGTGGATTTGAAAACTTTTTAATGGGGTTGGATTTTTGATAAATTCTTAATGTCCAATTATGTACTTACTTAACGAATTATGCTTAGTACGTAATGAGTACATAAAACAATGATTTGAGGAACTTGAGAATTTAGATATTTTTTTTGTCAGATTTTGACAACTTTCTTGAAGAACTTGTCAGTCATAGCTTACCTCAATAACATATGTCTCATTACTTGTTGCTATTGATGCTGTCATCATACCATCTTTGAGATGCAGACTGACATGTGAATGGTCTTCACCTGTCAATCAATAATATGACATCAAAATGATGGATAATCATTGTGGTGTGGTTGTTTATCAGTACTGATGATTGGATGTCATCACAGTTTAATGATGAATTAGGTTAAGTGATGATTTGATTGATTGATTGATTGACTAACAGTTGGAAGGATTGTCTGATTAATGATTGATTAAAAAACTTATTGATTGATGTGTGGATTATATTGATTCATTACATAATTTACTGATTAGATTCGCTTAGATGGAACATTCATAATTATAGTCTATGCAGCATAAAGAAAAAAAACTAGAAATGGTAGTTTTTCTCTGCTCTCTTACCTTCAACATAGCCTTTGTAGAAGTTAAGCTTATCTATTTGTATATCATCTTGTCTGGTGCCATCAATGCCATAAGCTTTGAAGTTCTCAGAGAAAAGACCACTATTTGGTGATAAATGAAGMAGGAAATTCCTAGAAATGAAATAATTTATTTATTTATTTACCATATGCACTTTCAGGTCACATGACCACACCATCAGCCAATCAAACAATGTTTTAGGTTTGAGGATAGATGAAAGCATAGAAACGATGTATTATGCTATAATAAATTATTAAATTATTAAATTAAAGTAGCGACAAAATTTGTAGATTTCTTTTTACAAACATTACATAAAATGTGCTGGTGTGTGAATTGTGATCATTGCAGGGTAATAAGGACAAATCTTTAAATTGTCTGAAATAAATTTTGGTGCAGCGCTCCATCAACTGAGCTCCTTTAAAACCTCTCCTTTTGTCAGGTTTCCTGTATCTGCAAAGGAGACTACAGATSTTTGCTCAACGCATGCAAAAGCATTCACATGAATTTGCACTCCTTGCATAAAATTTGTCACTAGTGAGGATCAAAACAGTAGTTCCCAAGAGGACAAAAATCTTTAATTTTTCCTCCAGATGAAGCTGCATGCTTTGATGCCTGCAAGGGGTCTCTAGCCAAAGTGTAACATAATCATGTGTTAAAAACTGGAAAGAAAGAATTACAATATGTGCAATATAAGAAGTAATGATTAAGTGAAGTTCAYTAAAGTGAAAAACTACTTTAATTTATTACCTTCCCAGAGTATTGAATGATATAACTTTATCGATCTGTCCATCAGCGTTTCTTCTTGTRACAACTTGATGGATGTCTCCCTTTGTCAGGGTCCTATAATCCTTTAATATGTCATCAATATTACCTATATTAGATGWGAAAAATGCAATTYAGTCAAAKTTAAACTYGAAGCCCTAGCTGCTTTGCTGCTAYRGGGGYACCCYAGGGCCACATGCAAAAWCACGCTGGAAAGCTGGGGATACACCAGAAAAACRTTTTGAATCACGAATTAAGTAAATCTTTTTSAGTGATCTCTCAACAATCCCAAGTGTTTCTAACAGAGAATGGAAACACTGATTTAAATATTTGCTAAATAATGCCTTATAAAATAACAGCAACTCTTTGCTTCTAAGTTGTGAATTTTTGCTCTCACATGGAATTGCAATAACTTTTGCTATGAAATATAGTATGAGAAAATTAGTAACATTTAT